CATATATGATTGATTGCGTTTAATTTTGTCTGGCAGGGGCGGACACAGACAATTAAAGTTAGGGAGGAACAATAGAACTTAGAAAAAAGTTGGAAGACATTTTACAATCGAAAATTTACATCCAAAAAATGCATAACCTCTGTAATTTTGTATCCGAAAATTTACATGAAATATGACTTTTTCGAATGCAAAATTACGAAAATTTTTTATGTCATATCCCATATAAATTTTCTAATAAAATAATGCAAATTACATCGAGAAATTTGTATCACAAAAATAATAAATGTTAATGAAATAATTAATTAATTTTTTAAATGCGAATTACGCCTCTTTTTAAGACACACGTTTGACGCGTCTTTAACTATTTTCGATATCTGTTTGAACTATTTGATACGCCTATAATGTAGTTCTCGAAACGAGCTTTGAGATGATATAAGCGATTTGTAGATTCGACTATCGTACGATCGTCGGAGAATTTTTAAAGTTAGCATGTCATTGAAATTCTCGAAATACTAATTTTAAATCGCCTACTTTGACAAGTCGCAACATTTGCTACGATTGGTCGTTTCGCACTCCGTTAATGACATAGAAAACCAAAATGTAACCACTTTGAAATAGTATTAAGAATGTAATATTTCGATTTCGTTCATATTTGATAATGATTTCGAAAATTGAAACAAAACATAGAAAATCAGGAAAAAAAAAAAAAAGGCAAAGCAAAGCAAAGTTGGGGGCACGTGCCCCCAGCCCCCTTGAGTCCGCCAGTGCTGTCTGGTAATCGTTGATTCAAGATTATATGTGTATATGTGATTTGCATTTTGTCCAGATCCTTGTCTACTTGCACAAAATTATCAGTCGACAAATTGTATAAATCTACCCTGCAGTAACACCAATCCTTCCTACATTATTTTTCAACCAACATTTTGTTAGAGAACCCAACATTCTGTGTCAATTTTTGAGGGAACAATTAGTGCTGCAGACATATATTTCTCATTGGTGTTTTTCTGTGGTATGATAATTACAGATTTTATGGACAAACACTATACCCAAATTGGGATAAATGAATTGTAAGCGAATTTAATGGGCAGAGAGCTGTGGGGTTTTCCATTTTTGACTTTCTAAACCGTTAGATTAACTTAAATTAATGGTTGAGATTTTTTGTCAAAACTATTGGTACGGGGAACGTTCCACCACAATTATTATCTCTTTCCCACTCTTTATGTCTCATCTTCCCTGTAGTGTTATCCTCTTCAGCAATCCATATAATTCGATCGTGCTCATTAAGTTTGATTTACCCAGATAGTTTCCAGACTCCCCACTATCAGGAAATATTCCTCAGTTAAGATAAAAAAAAAATTCTACACTTCAATTTGATCGAATATTTACTTGATAAACTTTATTTAGATCGAATATTTTCTTGATAGTTGACACCATTGAATATATAACCTAACTTCTATTATAAATTTAAATTTTTGCATCAAGTAGTTTAGAATAGTATTAGACTCGACAAAGATTACGAATTTGGGAGTCCCACTGCACGTCTGCACCTCTACAATAAAGGAACTCGAAGGGTAAGATATTGATTAAAGAAAAACGAAGTCATATTAATAATTTAAACTTTTAGATAAAGCAGTTCAATATGTTATATTTGACAAAACAAAGATCTTAAATCCCGCTATCCCGTACGAAAAAATGAAAGTTGGTTTGCAATTTAGTCGCGTGTTAAAGATAAAATAACTGTTTGGTATCGATTAAAATTTACAAATTTTAAACTAAATCAAGGTTACAGATGATTTTAATCACATGTTTTATGATCCCAGAACTTTTCAACTACTCATTTAATCAATTTTTATCAATATTACTAAAAATTTGATTTTAATCTTTACCAAATAGAGGCTAAATTCGTCCCATTTCTACTGGCAAACTTTAAAATAAAATACTTCAATAGCTAAATCAATGTTGAAAGATCAAGCACATTAACAGTTATCGAAATCACTTGATAGAAATTTTTATTAACCAAGAAAGTTAAGTTGTTTTTGGAATAAAATGTCAAGTTTCTATGATGCATGAAATTTAACAATGGTGGTGCCCAAACCCTACTTTTTGTCTCCACTCAAATCAATCTTTCTGCTTTATAAATACCTAAGTACAAGGCGGTTTCCATCACTCTCATTTGCATTCTAATCCTTTCTTGGTTTCTTGATTACTAAGTTTTCATCCCATATCATGGCTTCTAACCAAGAGGACAAATTATCTCCCCCTCCTGTAAATGATATGGAGAGAAAAATGAGCCTAGAGCCAGAAGAAAAGGGATTCGACTACTCAAAACGATCTCAATGGCTCCGGGCTGCGGTTTTGGGGGCCAACGATGGGCTAGTTTCGACAGCATCATTGATGATGGGCGTCGGATCTGTAAAACAAGACATCAAGGCCATGATCCTAACAGGTATATTGGATATTTGACTCAAATCATGTTATTTTGCCGAATCTCTTCTATTTGCTTTTGTTTTCATCGAATTTATTGAAGTGTGGTGGTAATTTTTCCCACGACCAGGGTTTGCTGGATTAGTGGCCGGAGCATGTTCCATGTCCATAGGCGAATACGTGTCGGTATACTCACAACTCGACATAGAAAAGGCTCAAATGAAGAGAGAAAAAGAAAGGGCAGTTGGTATAGAAAGTTTAAAAGATGATGGAGAGAGAGGGGGTTTGCCTAATCCAATACAAGCAGCAGCTGCATCAGCCCTAGCATTTTCGGTGGGTGCAATGGTGCCACTGTTGGCTGCCTACTTCATAAGAGAGTACAAGGTAAGGATGGGGGTGGTGGCCGCCGCTGTCAGCCTTGCTTTGGTGGTGTTTGGGTGGATAGGGTCGGCGTTAGGGAGAGCACCGCCGGCCAGGTCCTCAATAAGGGTTTTGATTGGTGGTTGGTTGGCCATGGCCATAACATTTGGTTTAACAAAGTTGATTGGTTCTAGAGGGCTGTAAATTAGAAATAGCGAAGTATATATGCTTATTTTGCATTTTGAGACTTTTTATATGGCACCTAGCCAAAGGGAAGAAACTTCAATGTCCTCTCACCTATATTTACATAGAAATGTAAACAACATGTTTGTTTCTGATTAAAATTCAATTAAAATTAAAAATATGGCCGTTATTGAATCTCACTCGTCTAATAAAAGTCAACAATAACGACTAATTTTTCAATTTTAATCCGATTTTAGTATCTACCGAACACGCCCAATTATCTAACAAAATATGGTTTCTTCCTTTTTTTTTTTTTTTAATTTGAATAAATTGTGGACGTGGAATTGGATAGTAGAACTTATATAACTAAACTTCAAGATGGCACGTGACTAAGATTTTGTGGAGACAATACTTATCTATAGAAGACGTTCTTTTTAGGTAGACATTTCATTTCCGAGTACTTGTCAACATTTATTTTTAAGGAAGAATAACCATTTATTCAAGTAATTCTCCACAAATTGCTGGCGGATAAAAAGTGATATACTATTAGTTCAACTAATTAAATGCTTATTCAAAGTAACAAAATATCGTATCAAATATGCCACTCAAAGGTAATTTAAATTCACCAATTTCACGATGTATCCTTAACAAGAATTTATTCCCTTTTATGGTTCTCAAAGGCGTTAAGTAATTCTCTCCTAAGATAGAACAAATTTTCGTTTTCTATGGAAGCAACAAAACAATCAATAGGGGTTCCATTGAACCCAATAAAGTGTTTCATATTCGAAGAATGAAATCAGAATTTAGAGAGGAAAATAAGAATTAAAGCATAGAATATTTGCTATGAAAATTGTGTAAATTTTGTGGTAGTAGTGCAGGCTATTTATAGACTTAGAGTTTGTTTAGGAGGGATTAAAATCAAATTAAAATTGAAAATATAGCCGTTATTGTTGACTTTTATTAGACGAGTGGGATCCAATAACGGCCATATTTTCAATTTTAATTGAATTTTAATCCCTCTCGAACGGGGCCTTAATCCTGATTAATCGAACACTCTACAAGCCTCTTTAGAACAGTGATAACTTTTCAAACAATCCTCCAAAAATGAATAGACAGCTTTGTGCAAACTAATATACTACGTGGTTAAATTAGTTAACGAACACTTGTCAACATTTTATTTTTAAGGAAGAATAACCATTTATTCAAGTAATTCTCCACAAATTGCTGGCGGATAAAATAGTAATTAAATGCTTATTCAAAGTAACAAAATATCGTATCAAATATGCCACTCTATTTTCTTTTTGGAGAATATAAGATAATATGAGCCACGATTGTCATCTTAAAAAAGTTTACTAAAGTGAAAATATTGAAGATTCTTTGAAAATTTTCAGCTCATTGATTTCTTATTTTCATTCACCTTATATAAACTATTACAAGAGGTACAAAAGACATTCAACAGAATTATACTCCTACCACCTATACACGGGAGCTAAGTGTGCAATGGAATTATTCCTCCACTCCTAAAATTAAGGAAATGCTAGGGCTATGGAATTCTTGTTGTGACGGCTAAGCACAGCAGCTGCTATGGATGAAAGCTGCCAAATAATTAATTAATTCTAACACCCCATCTCAAGGTGGAGTGTGTCTCAACCACTCCAAGCTTGTCTATAAAGAATAGGAATCTTGAATGAGCAAGAGGCTTTGTCAATACATCTTCAATTTGGTCTGAAGACGGTACATAGTGAATCTCCAACTCTTTTCTCACAACTTTGTCTCTAACAAAATGAAAATACAGGGGTCATGGTTGGGATAGGGCAAAAAGATGCTTATGTTGGGGGTGAAGCCCAATCTAAAAGGGGTATTCTGACCTTGAAGTACTCATTGAGCATGGAATAGTCAGCAACTGGGATGACATGGAAAAGATTTGGCACCATACATTCTACAACGAATTTCGTGTCTCTCCAGAAGAGCACCCCTCCTCACAGAGGCGCCACTGAATCCCAAGGCAAACATAGAGAAAATGACTTAAATTATGTTTGAGACCTTCAACGTGCCAGCCATGTATGTAACCATCCAGGATGTACTTTCCTTGTATGCTAGTGGTCGAACGACTGGTATGTATCACATGGAAAAGTAAAGATCTAAAAATCTCTCTCCTGTAGTTTGCTCAATCTAAAATAAATGATGTCTTGTGAATAGGTATTATGCTTGATTATGGTGATGTGGTGAGCCACACTTCCAATTTATGAGGGGTATTATTGTGTTTTTTATATCGCAAGTGTACGATATCGTAATAATTAATATAGTGGAAATTTGAATCCGGACTATCGTTCCCACGAGAACTATACTTTAGAACTTAATTTAATTTTTCTAACTCATAGTTGACTAAATCAAATAAATAATTATTATGACTGTAATTATTTTTTCTAACTATTTTTAACTAACGGAAAATATAAAATAATTGCAAATAATGAATAATTGAAAATTCAAATATGTGATAAATATTAGGGAGTAACAATTTCATCTATTGATCACCTTTATTTTTAATTCATGATTCATAATCCAATGTAGTGTTCGATCGAATTCTTTTATTATATTCAATTTACCTCGCTCGAGTTCTCATTGAGCATATTTAACTAATTAAATTCAATATCTTTATGCGAATCAATTTTAGTTAAACGAAATACTGGTTCTAAGAATTCAAATTATGACTGCAATAATCAGTATATGTATCTCTACACGTTATATCGAATTTTATTATATGTTCTAAATCTCAAACTCACCTCTCGATTTGTAAGAGACTTACATAATTATCAAATTATTGATCAAATAATTTAATGCATTAAACTCATAATAAAATCAACACAAAAATAAATAAATCACAAAAATCTTGAATAAAAAAAATAAAGGATCATAAGTGGACTACATTGTTTTCCTAAT